CTAAAAAGCTTATAAACAATCAGGTTTAAACTAAAAGAGCTTTACAAAAAAGTAACACAATGAAATATGTTTGGAGTTTTATTTGAGTTATTAATTTAAATGTTTTGTCTAAGAGATGCTGATTTGAAACCGTTGTTACATACAGTTACGGCATTTCCTGTTTCTGCCGGAGAAAGGGGAGTTTGTCCCAAAGCTTGCTGCTGTATTTACTCCCTCCATCTGACAGGAGGAAGCCTCGTTGAGCTGCGAGTGTGGCTACAGACAGAGGCCGTTTCTCAATCGCGAGGATGCTTGCTTGGTAGCACATGTCTTCCGAGTCACTTGCTCCAGAAGCTAGGCAAGAATCCTTCCTGGCATTCGGAAAGAGTGGAACAGGCTAGCAAGTGTGCAGGTGTGCGTCATATGAGAGGCCCCGCCTTACATTTTCCGCCACAGATTTGGGGAAATTGGTCTGTGCGCAAAGCATTGTGGGGATTTGAAGGACGCAAAGTCTACCCATGTGCAGCCTCGAAATTACCCCCAGACCAAGGACGCGGCCTCGGTGGAATTCCAAGTATGCTGGAGATTGGAACAGTCCTTCGGCGGCACTCGATGACGTAGTATCCTTGAAATATTGGCTTGGAAGCCAGTTTCCTCACGATTGAGAAACGGCCAGAGTTCACTCCGTCACGGAGGGGTAGGGTCGAGGGAGTGGTTTGGGATTGGGCCTTAGTTTTTGGCACCCTCAGGAGCAACTTATCAGCTGACCTGAGAGTGCGAGTGCGAGTGGGCGTGTAGCTGTGTAACAGCTCAGAGAGGTAGGGCGGGGCCAGGCCATTGAGGGCTTTAAAAGTAAATAAAAGAGTTTTAAAATGAATACTCGAATGAACGGGCAGCCAGTGGAGTGAAGATAAAATGGGGGAAATGTGCTCGTGTTTGCGTGTACCAGTTAGGAGCCGTGCTGCTGCATTTTGCACAATCTGCAGACGAGCAAGGGAGGACGCACTTATCCCAAGCAAAAGCGGCCGTTAGATCAAGGAGTAAAAGGATAATGCATTCACCTGAGTCTGTTGCTAAAAGAATATCATTAAAAACTCTTAAAAGAGCTGATTCCGTGCTGATTCCGTGCTGTGCAAGGTTTTAAAACCAGATTGGAAGACCTCGAGTACCTTGTGCTCTTCCAGAAAAGCGAGAAGTTGACTGTATACAATCTTCTCTAGGATTTTGGACATAAAAGGCAATTTGGAAATGGGCCTAAAGTTTGCAAGAACTGTGGGATCCAGATTATGCATAAATGTATAACTGTGTTGTATTAAGATATTAATTATTGGTATCTATAATGCTTTTAATAACACCTAATTCGATTGAAATGACAATAAATCATGAGTTATTGTGTTATTGATATAAATATCGAGGTGTTTTTGCATCAACAGCTTTTCACAAAAAACATGTTGAAATCAGTTTAGTTTTATTCTTAAATATAACGTTATAATGTACTTTGCATGTAGTCTGTATTTTTTTCAGCATTTACTGCATTGAACACTAGTAACAGTTAATGCGGCCCTGTTTTGTGTTCCAGCACTGCTCTGCTGTAATGAACCGGACCCCCACAGACGGGTCTGGCTTTCCAAAACCCTCGAGTCGTTCCTGCCTCCGTCATTAACCAGCAGAGTGACTGTGTCCGCACAGGACGGATGCTCTTTTGGGCAAAGTGAAACAGGAGAGTATGACAAGGTGAGGGGGAGTCATGGTTATTTCAGTTTGTGACTACATTTGGCTTCGGTGTTCATCAAATTGAGTTTTTTCAAGGCCATGGTTAGAAATGAATGAAAACAGCAAGCCTTTGAACTGAAGGTAATAAGCCCAGCGGAAGAGACGAAAACAATTTATTCAAAAGAGGAGCCAAGAAAAGGCAGACAAAATGGTTGGGAGCTTTCAAAGCACTCATTGTGACTGATAATGGGCCAAAATATTGAAAACAGAAAAGCACAGACTCAAAGGTAGTGTAGGAAACGGTGTGAACAAAGGCTGAAAGGATTTAGAGTACAAACAGGCTGTACCGATTCAGGCTGTTTGTAGCAGAGGACAGATCTGTGGGGAGATTCTCAAGTTTTAGGTTTAGAGTTTGTGTTTGGTGAAGAAGAGCATGTTATTTTACAGACCTCCAGCATTTGTATTCATTAGGGGTGTAACGGTATACGTATTTGTACCGAAAATATTCGGTATGGGTCCTTTGGTTCGGTACACGTCTGTACGTGAATATCACCGGTACCAAAAGAAAAAAGACTGCAAACCCAACTCCCACTAGCATTTAAGCCTCCACCACTCGCAACAAGTTCAGACCGAGCCAAAGCTATTACAAACGCCAAATATCCTTATGTTGCTTGCTAACATGGCAACATAAGGATATTTGGCGTTTGTAATAGCTTTGGCTCGGTCTGAACTTGTTGCGAGTGGTGGAGGCTTAAATGCTAGTGGGAGTTGGGTTTGCAGTCNCACAAAGCAGTTTGAATTACACAACGAATTTTATTGGAAGACGTAATGTATACACTGTGACACTCACAACCGTGTCGGTCTAATGCAGAGTCGACTTCGTCTATTCCTTTATACGTACCTATGTAATACTACACTATACGTCGCCTGACATGAAATTACAATGGAGACTAGGCCAATAATACAACACCGTCTATAAATGTCATTCGAAAGAATTGGCGATTACAATATTAATCAGTCTAACGAGACTTCTAACCCCTCCACTATAAGATAATTACAAAACTGCAGGTGTGTCAGCCCACTAAAACGCCACAATACGCATCTAGTCCTAGTGGTTGATGTAAAAACAGTTCCCGGTTTTACATACGGGTTATCTGGTGATGGCGCCCGGCCGCTAAAAATAAATATCGGGTCTTAAAACTTCAACAACTGCCCCCCCACATCACCTCCATGCGGAGTCCACAGGACGGCTGGGTATTTGACACGTCGAGAAAAGTGCGAATTGTTTCCCCCTAGTGAAGATCCGCCCCTCCCAATGAAACACCTTGACATTAGTAATGACTTATGACCTTATGTACGAACTTCTCTTTATTAGTCCTTATGTAAAATCTTATGAAAACCTTAATGAAAGAAAAAGGTATGTGTCTACCATACAAAACCACTGTCCGTGTGAATAAAAACATGAAAATATTACCGAATAGTTCTTGAGTCTTGTGTCGTAGAACCACAGTAAAGACCTTCGAGAGAGTAGACGTGGGGTGTATTTTTTGTAGTGGCCTGACGTAAGAAAACATGAACAAGAATTTTTGGAAAGGAAACCTTATACAATACTTAACATTCCACCAGGAACCCACGAAATTTCCCCGCGGGGATTTATATTACTTAATAGTAATAATTAATAATAGACTTTGCTAAGATTATTGAAAATTTTGAAAAGGTCAGTGAACGGGTACGTAATCGTCGTCGTCCGGTAAGTGAAACTAAATAAGGCAATACTTGTACAGTATTAAAGCTGTTATTTATTTACGTTTGCAATAGAACATGTAAAATAGGTTGATAGGACTTGAAAGTTATAAAATTTTGCTCTAGAGAGAGAGAGGAGAGTAGACGCCACGCCCCCCCGGAAGTGTCTGTGCGACGTAAGAGAACGAGTCTGTATGACGTCGCGACACGTCACACGTGTGTCAAGACGGCCATTACTTATAATGTAAAACACATACTCCTTTGAAAAGGTGGTTTTTAAACAGCCTATTCAATAAAGGTTTTAGATAAGTGAAGTCCCAAATGCTTTCATTGACATTAGTCTAATGAGCAAAAAGTTTACACTTGCGGTCGCTTATCCGGATGAACTAAAAACATAACCGACCTAATGCATTGCGGCAATGTACATAAAGGCAATTTTGGTTTTGGACGAAGATCCGATGACAGGGCGTCGAGCGACGGAGGAGACAAGTCCTCGAGACAGCGTCGCCCCCCGTTGACGAAACGACGCCTCACGTATATTTCGTCTGAGAAAGTGTTGGTCACTGGATAGGATATAATGGCCGCCACACCAACGACGGCCTAAAAACCTGGGGGCGGATATATAACATGTCCGTAATCAGTATGGTGAGTGGTTTTAGGTGTGACCACAACGAACAATGGGAGATCACATACGGTGGTTCGTAAAATGAGACGGGTCGTCCACTTTTTGATTTCTCCCCGAAGTTTTAGGCCGTACGGACCTGTTCAATATACCCCCCAAGGTTTAGCCCGTCGATGTGTGTGGACCAGACGTCTAAACCTTGGGGGAGAAATCAAAAGTGGACCGACAGGGTCTCATTTTAAATGAAACCACTCGTAGTTTTGACATCTCACCCTTGTCGGTTTGTGGGTCACATAAACCAAGCTTCAACACATGGACAGGACCTAGCGTTTCAACATCACCCCCAACGGTATAGACCGTCCGCCTCTTATGGACGCAGACGACCTTGTTACAATACATCTCTTGTCACGTCTAGAAGGCGGAATCCATGTGTCCTTTTTGAATCACATTTGTATTCCCTTTTTTTTTCTTTTTTTTTTTTTTTTTCGTTTCTTGCTATTACATTTTATTTCGTTGTCAATTATCACATAATATCCGTGTGCATAACTTAGTTATTATGTGAAATAAAAATCCAGTGGAAAGTTTCGTACACAGTTACTAGTGGAATTTTATGTTATTTTTTGATTTTACTCACCGTAATGTTATGTTTGTACACAACTCCATCCTTTGGTGTCTCCTTTTATATGTAAGTTTTCTCGTAATTTCGCTCACTTCGGTCAAACTTTGTAAGAGAAAATCCAAACGAACTTTTATTTGTGCACAGACTACAAATATCGGTAGTAATTGACAGTCATAGTAACGAATTGTGGTAATTAAAGTCAGATCCACTCCTGTCTTAGACGGGGCAGTGATCATAAACCTATTAATGTATGCATTCAAACACTTTTTCTTTTACCAGCTGTATTCACCTTGCAAGTGCAACTATGTGGCTTTTATCCTGGATAAAGTGTTTAAGTCATGGATGTTTAACTTCTTCATATGTCTAATATTATAGTTCATTCAGAAGTATGACGCTGCGCTGTCAGTACGCTTCTCCATGTTTGTGATTGGTCGAATGCTCCAAATACCACCCCTTTAATGTGAACGCGCACCTAACTAGATAGGACACGGCTGGCTTGAGCGATCCACTTGATAACCCGCGTCGTAGTACAGTTTAGCGAGAGCGCGTATGTTTTGGATTAGGCCAACCGGCTAACTCAAACATATCCAGGTTAGGTTGAACCAGCTTCGTAGTATACCCCCCAGGTCTCCCTTGAAAAAGAGATCATTGATCTCAATGGGATTTCACATGGATAAATAAAGGTTTTGAATTGAATTGAATTAAAAAGATTCAGTAATGAGTCAATACTAGAGTTCATCAAAATGTAATGACTGCAGCCAGATTCGATGACTTAAAGGTAGGGTAGGTAATTCACTTCAGAAATACTTTTTGTTATATTCCATGGAATGCTCTTAACATCCCGATAGCAATGAATAAATTAAATGCTTTGACAATAAATATATACAAATATTTAATCTGTGGAAGCCGTGGTACTGTAAAAAGCAGGACCAATTATCTGAGCCGAAATAACTGGATGGCCTACCTGCCTGTCAGCTTTCCACCTCGTGCACAAACGTATCTCGTGCCCTCATTGGTCATGTGTGCGTTTGTGTGTGTTGGAGGGGGGGCTCTGTAAGGAAGGGGCGGATTTTTTTCAGTTGTGTACCTTCAAATTCTAGCGCACTCTTACCTACCCTACCTTTAAGGCTGGAAACTGAATGTGAGTTTCTGTGGTGGTGATCCTTCTCTACAGTAACTGCAGTCAAATAGTACTAAGAAAACACAAAAGACACCATAAGCACTTACTCAAAAAAAAAATGCACTGAGAATTAATTTGTAATATTACAATCTTACATTGTAAATGATTGCAGTCTTACAAAATTATAGATTTCATTGTACAATGTGGACACAGTTATTGATGTAAAGCAATTAACAATATGTTCAGACAATATCATTTAATCCTACATGTGCAGTGTCAGTGGTTCCCTTAAACAATAAATCATAACAATAACAAATAATAAATAAAAAGGGTGTGGGTAGCCAAAAGGAGCAAATAGTTTGGCTTTAAGGGGAAGAAGTTGAAAACCAAACGTTGATATATTAAATGTTAAAGGGTATGTTTGTCAGCGTGTGTGACCTAGTGGAGGGTTTCATGAGGTACTTTGCATTTAAAAACCTAGAGTTAACAAAAGGTGTACAGAGGAAATGTCCATGTTTGGCCATATGTTCCGCTCCTCTTTTTTTGCAAAGGGAAACAACCTACTTTATTTCCTTCTTCTAATCCGAGATAAAAACATGGGTCCCCAGGTCCTGCCGGGCTGAGGAACCACTAAAATGCCGAGTCTGCGGGGATTAGAGGACGAGGAGCCATTCAGTGGCCGCAGGGACGGCTTCTCAGGTGTGTCAAGATCAGGGTGAGCATGACTAAATGTAAAGTATTTTGATAAAGGAACAGCAATCTCCTCCCACAGGTCTTCAGGTTCAGCCTCAGGACAGTCATTCAGCACTGAGTTGACCACAGCATAGTTCTCAGAGCTGGACAGAGTGCAGGTGGAATAGACCACAACTCCCCCCGGACGCACCGCTGTCAGCGCAGACCTGCACAGAGTAGACAAACATTGCACTTCATGAGAAGGGGCTTCAAAAGAGGAACTCTACCGATTTCACACATCAAAGTCGGTTTGCAGGTCTTAGGGAGTACCACTGCATATGTGAACAAAGTTGTCTAAAGCCTTTTGTGGCTCGAGAGGGAGCTGTGAGAAGTCTGATAAATTGCCTCAAGTGATGGGTGTGAGGACGGCAAGGTGGAAAATGAAAGAAAAAATTGGTAGTGTGGAGTTAGTAAGAATTGAGACGTCTGTAGCTGCTCAGCTCAGCTAAAGGCTTGCTGCTCGAGGCTACATTAACCACAACTTACATAACATACAGATTTATGAATAAACTGTTGAATTGCATTGTGGGTAAGGTGGACAACAGGTATTGCAAAGGAATAAGGATGTGTGGAACACAAATATTACCTACAGTTCTGTACCATTTTATGCTTGGTTATAATTTCACACAATTATACAAATCTGCAATCAAATTGTCAGAGCCAATAGATTGATAGAAAAATGTAAACTATATTATATTAGTCCTTTTGGGTAATCATACGGTGCCACACAGCCATCATTATATAAATGAACAGATAACTGAAATACCCTACTAACAACAGCAACACCACATATTACTAAAGTGCTTTTATCATTTTCAGACAAACGGTTAAATCACATGAGTAATGACATGTAGGAAGTTAGGAGAGAACAACGAGGTTAACACATTTCAGACATCTCTTATCTTCAGTATTGGACTCACCTCAGCAGTTGAGCCTGGAGAGCAGGCAGCCTGGTTCTGTCCTTCAGTCTCTGTTCCCCCTGCTGGCTGCTGCTGGAATACAACCAGCTCCTGTCATTAGAACATGGAGCATCCACTAAAACCTGCAACACAGAGAGCACGAAATGTGAGTAGTTCGGAGTCTGAGAGTTCAAGAGTTTAAGTGCAGCATGAGACGAAAGGATCAAAGAAGAAAAGTGAAAGGGAAGGAGTAAGAACAAGTAAATAGTTAATAAGGGTAAAAGCAGACATAAATACTAGGGGTGTAAAGGTTCACAAACATTTTGGTTCGGTGCGTACCTCGGTTATTAGGTCACGGTTCGTTTTCGGTACAGCAGAAAAAATCATCACAAAAACATAAAATATTTTTGGGTTTTTTTTTATTATTATTAAACTGTGAATAATGTATTCACTCGAATAAATACAAAATATAATAACATAGACATTAAGGTGCAGCATTTCGATGAACTGAAATAATCTGTATTTGAAATGTACTGTACTAGTACTCACAAAACATAAACTATTAGTTTTGGGTTTTTAATTATTATTAAACACTCAAATAAATACAAAATATAATAAAATAAACATTAAGGTGCAGCATTTCGATGAACTGAAATAATCTGTATTTGGACTGTACTGTGCTAGTACCTAAGCAGCCA